GGGAAAGATGAAACTGCAAGTTAGCTAGCATGATTTTAGAGCTGTACAGTAATGGCACCAGAAGAAATTGGCTTGCTTAAATATTGTGTATATGGCTGCAATACTTTAATCATACCATTTTCTAATTGACAAACAATTGTAGCTACCATGCTGTATGACAATCAAACGGCTTCATACAATGATGAGACTTCTATAATTCAAATACGGACTTGTGCTGTATATAATCTAATAAATAATTTAATTTAGCATTTCTGAAATTTCTTCGTACCTACCTTTCCTACCCTTTTTGACCAATGGACCAAACAGTAATCAGAGTAAGACTGCATCTTCATTACAATCAATGAAGAAGGTATTGAGATTCAAATCACTAGTTAGACTTGAATCGGACTAGGAATCCTATCTGTAATTGCCTCAACTATATATCTGTAACAAAAGCAAGAAGATACACTGATTCAAGATTGTTGGCCTACTCAAGTATGTTGCTTAAATTGTTTTGAAATAATCTGTATGTTAACTTTTCTAAGGTTTGAAATGACAGCAGAAGTTGTTTATAACATATCTCAAGGATTTGCTTCAATATTTCTTTGTTTTTTAAGAAAAATTGAAACTGACATTCTTCAAAGTTTTAGCATATATCTTTTCAGAGAAGAAATTATATATTGGTTAACATAACTGGGTTGCTTTTTCTCTATATCTTTGTTTCTGGGAGCTAATTTAAATGTGAACAACCCGTGATTTCAATGATACTAATTTATTAAGTCACAGTTTAAGTGTCAGTCCAGAATTTCACAGCTAAATGTTTACTATAAAATTAAATGGTTTCTTGGAGAACACTTTATTATTTGTTGTTCTTCATTACTGACTTGCTTGGAGAGCTACAAATTCCTAGTAGCTCTACTTTCTTTAAAACATGCTAGCAATGGGATTAGATAAATAGCTAATAGTAGTTCAACAGCTATTTTTGTTAAATTGTCCGAGCAGCCAGGGATCAGGTTAGGAAAGCTAAAGCCCTGATAGAATTAAATCTGGCTAGGGACGTCAAGGGCAACAAGAAAAGATTGTATAGGTACGTCGGGGATAAAAGGAAGACAAGGGAAAATGTGGGCCCTCTCTGGAATGAAACGGGAGACCTGGTTACCCAGGACA